ATTTGCTTTCTTGGCTCTCTGAGTTAAAAAGGTTGCCGACCCCTGCCCTAGGACCACCAGGAAAGATAGTGCGATTCCGAAACAGAAGGTTTAGCCTGGAAACAAAGTGGCATAGACGATCCAAGAAGACGTTCTTCATAACTATGCTGCTAGGTGTGAGATTCAAAACACAAAGGCATGCGTGAGTCGCGAAACCAATCTATGAACGTTAATCCACAATTTTCCCTACTGCATTAGGTCAGTAGATTACAGTCGGCTACATAATTATTCCTTGGGTAGAGATAACTAAATCGTTCTTTCTGTCATTTTTGACATTAAATATTCTACGTCTTGGCCAAATAGTATGTGTTATTATTAAACTAATCAATAGTTGCTGTCAAAAACTCTAAGGTGAGACTAGAACCCGCAAATTTTAATAATTTAGACAACACTCTGTCTATTATTCCATAGACCAAAAGGGGCAATTAACTTGGAGCGAAGTGCTTTTTGAGAGCACGATACGGCGCACTGAGGCCTTATCATGTTCTTGTCACGATAGAGACAATTAGGCTTGCCTTGTTTCTAATAGCAAAAAATTGATTTTTAACAGCGTCTTTCTGTGGATATTTCAAGGCAATTGCCTACGAGCTTCGGAGTGATGTATTCACTGCTGTTAATGTTGATAACAGTGATTTTTCTGAGCACAACTGACCGATACGCTGTTAAATCTTTAGTGTTATTCACGTGAAGCATACAGTAAGTTGCTTTTAATTTTTAATATACAGCGGTTACTGTCCCGGTTAATGAGTAGCTATAACACTTCTGCATTAGATATGCCTCCCAAATCGAACGCTAGTCATAATATCATGAAAGCAATATCTCTTTGAGTCTGAATGTTTTCGCGTTGTAAAATCCTTTATTTTCTATTTTCGGCAGCTATGTCGAAGTTCAATCCATTCTAAGGGATGAACAATCTGGACATTTTAACTTTAGTGAGAACGTACGGTTTAGTAGCTTGCTTTTTCCATTTTTAAGAACACTAATTTGAGGTGGAATAGATACTGACCTACATGAAGACTCGGTGAAAGGTTTCTTGCTTATTGTAATGTCACTGTTGGTCGCTGATTTAGTCATCCAGTTAACTAGTGACATTGAAATACTTAAAACGCATACCTCTTCGACTGGATGACACTAATGTGTGAACGATTTGTGCATCATAGTTAGCCCGCACATCTAGACCATAATATGTATTTATGAACGATAATATACTACTACCTTTTGAAATCTCAAAACTTTTAGCCAGTATAGCTTCTGAACTTCTGCCTGTGCAACTTATACATCTATTCAAATTTAATGTCTGAAGAAAGAACATTCGATAAATTTGAAAGGGCCATAAAGTGCATCATAAAGACATACAAATTCAACCAATTACATGAACGGTCTCCAGGATGAGTTGAACAAAATCGTTTAGTTTCTTATTCTACAGTGGTTTTCAAGCTCGTGGACTTTGCTGCCAGAGGTTGAAACACCAAATTCTATGCAGAAGGAGTTTTACTTTCTTCTAAAATTGTTCTGATGATGTTGCAAATAATACGGGAGCAATAATTTTTGCTGGTACCTAGTTTATTCAGTTTGCTTTGGAAGTATATCGTATACAGCGGCCTATTCCCTGTGCTTAATTAACTTTACACATGCGTCAACGACTGTCGCAATCACTTAACTTAACGTAATAGAGGATTACTTTCTTCATTCCGGAAATACTATTAAGATTTTACTATTTCTTGGGTGGTTTCGTTAAGGCTTTAAAACGCATTCTCTTAATCCAATTTATAGTAATAGTTGTTGACGTAATTTCGATGACCTTTCTATTCAGTGGCCTTCTGTGACTTTTTATAACCTAGACCGAAGGAAGCCAGGCGATTCTCCGAGCAGCCAGAGCGGGAAATCTGCAAAAATTACTGGAGGCAATTGACCTGGCTGGCGTCAACATAAATAGTTCGAATGCGGTTAGTTGCCCCTAATTCATTTATTAATTACACTCTTCAATGCCGTTAAGTGTCAGTAGTAGAGGAATTTTTTAACTTTGTTCTTACGGCGCAGAACAGCGAATAAAACCGCCGATCAGAAGACGCAATTACTTTGTTGTTGTTGTTGCCTTTGTGTTTGTGAGAAACATCGTACTGGAAGTAGTTGATCCAGTCTTTTTAATTTTACTTGGACTGTCATTGTGAAAAGTTTAGTCTTATATTTGAATCCAAAGCTACCGAAACCAACATACATTTTAAAACTGCCAACAGGGAGCCTCTGTGGCTAAGCTTTTAAGTATCTACAACACTGTCTTAAAAAATTGTTTGTATGAATAAGTAAGCTAGAACTGAAGCAACTGTAGGATTTGACACGGTTTGCGCTAATTCTTTTGAGGTTTGCTCGGGCCGCGGAGTAGTTGTTCCGTTTGTTCAGCCGGGTTCGTACTCAATTGGACTTTATATATCAAAGGCAAAGACTGGTATTTTGCATGGATCTCTTGTTCTTTATTCCAGTTTCAAGTATGAAATCTGTCCTTTATCACAATATATTTCAAGAACTGTGTCCACCTAACCATAAGAACTCAACACAGAATGGAATGATCTGTGTTACGTTTAACAGCCCGATAGATAGGCGAACGCCACTTCTGTGTAATTAAATATCTCAGGTTGCATGTTTTTCCGAGTACTACGCCAATTCGGAGGTGTCCTGCCTTGGACTTGGGGTATGTCAGGCTGACAGTGACACATTACCAGGGCATTAGCACTCTAGTACTACTCTTCACAGCAACACTTTTCGATTATCTGTTGTTTATCGCCATGCGATCGCCAATCATGGTAGTAGACTGACCGGAACGGTCTTGTTCCGTTCTGCGATCCATACGCATTGTTGAACGCCACTTCGTGGGCAAAAAACTTTTTTGCCATAGTGATAAAAACATCCTGAGATTCAGAAGGAATGAGAAACTGAAGGCACCACATATGATCTCAGGAACTAGTTGGTATCGAAATACGCACATATTCAACCAAAAGTCTGAAAATTTCGCTTAACTTAGTTTTTATGCTTTAAAAATACATCGGTTTCTGAGGTGCTGCTGAGACCTAGGAGTCTACAAAAGTGGTTTAATAAAAAAATTTATGATAGCTATGGGAGCCATATGACACGTTCTAATCTAGCCGAAAATTTAGCGTGTGTGTTGTTGTCTTTATACTTTACCACAGATAAAAGCTCACGGTGTCTTGGAAGAATTGCAAATGAAACCGTAAATATGATGTCAGTATTCAAATGTGGTAGCACTGTTTATTATAAAGTTTTGACTCTCCCTTCGGTGGATAATGCTTTGAGATCTACCACAGACATAGTCGAGTCACTAAACATTTGAATTGAACACTTCATCATTCCGTCACTAATTGTTATTCCGCCGGTTGCTTTTCTACTTACTGGTGACTCTAAAGTGGAGATATAAATAAGATAAATCACCGGTAGTTCGCCGGTATTTTACAGTTTAAGACTGACGGATGAAAACAACTCTGATGTGATTTTATATAACTTCCGTTTGTTCTCATTATGCTCCGTTTCAAAATGCATCAGAAGCTTATATTTAAAGCCAATATTCATAACCTGCTTCGTCATGTTAAAATAAAACAGTGGTTACTTTTTATATATTATGTTTTCTTGGAATGATAATGATCTGGATGCAATATATCTTTCCCTGATGTTTTTTACACCTAACAATATTTACAGAGATTATCTCTTGTTAGTTCCTTAGACAGGGTGGATGGTTTTGTTAGCAGCAAGGTCTTAGCAAGAGAGTAGGCTACGCATTTAATTAAGCTAGCAGTTACTATAAGATCTGTCCATCAGGCTACTAATGACTCAATTTGAAAGCATGTTTATTAGATTTCGGACAAAAGTACGTGACCAATTTTTTTATCGAATAAATTATTGGATTCGATCTTCTAAGGCTAAAACCTCGCTTACCTGGCAAGATTGGCCTAGAAAATGCCGGTATTAACGGGGATTTATTATTAGTCCTGCTGTTGTAAATGAGTCGAATTGCAATGCGTTCGTATAATACCCTCCTGCTAGCGCGCTTTAAATGCGCGCAACCCCTAAATGTCTCGATGATTATCTAGGAATTTTCCAAGCGTGTTTACAGACGTCCATGTGGAACTCGTAATCCCAATTGAAAGCGTCCCTACTGAAGCTCCAGTTTGCCACTCTAAGGTGAATGTATATTTTAAATAGTAAATAAAAACCCAAACTTCGACATCAAATTGATTTTACCTCGGACCAAGTGCCATTTGACTGTATTAATTCCTCACGAGACACTACTTTAGCGTAAATGGTTAAATTGCATTGGCTCTCATATGCACCGCGCAAGTCAGATGCGATGAATGACTAACTTATACCTCCTTCTATTAAAAGACTTAGGGGAAAGCAGTATATACAGAAACCTCTCCTACGCATATGATGATGTGTCTTATGAGCACTTCGAGACTCATGCATAAAATTAACCTCTAGACGATATTTCTTACACTCTCAGTGTTGGCCCTCTTTTATTATATTGGCGAGTTTATATTAAATAAACAAGCTACGTAAGGTATTTGCGGTGGTACTCGAACAGTTCACATTATATCATATAAATATTGCCAAATAGAACACGGAATATTTAGATGATCGTTCCAGGTTTGTTTATGGTCATAAAACAACCAAACCACGGCTCTAAGACTGAAAAAACACCGCGACTTTGCATCCAATCGACATCCCGCAATTGGATCAAAAGGGGAACAATATTTCCGGCTGACTCCAGATTCCGACCGACAGCGCATGCATCCGCCGGTCATGTCAACAATTTGGACTTTGAATAGGTTATGCCCGTTTGATAGCGCAGATATTCCTGGAATCTGGTTGGTATATTGTTCACAACGGGCGGTAAATAAACGAGGAATGACCACATGAGTCTGTCCGTAAATGAAGCTGTTTTGCTGCCAGATTACATGCACTGGTTCTGCGAGTCAAAGCTAACTGTTTATATTCCACTTCTTACTTAGGTGGTCTCCTTGAAAAAAACACTTAATTACTACTTTGTGAAACTGCTTTTCCCAGAGTAATTATATACTGTTAGGAGGAAGATTCGATTGCTGGGACAACACCTTTTATTCGCCTGACTTCTGGACATCCGTCGAGGATTCTACATCAGAGAAATGATCAGAAAGCAGTATCAGAAGCGGGTTCACAGGAATTTGCGGTATTTATAGAGCGGAGAGTCATTACTGCCCACACATGACGCGACACAGGCCACCGCGTCGCCTTACGCTAACATCGGCGAACCAGATGGCCGAGCAATCATCACGTCCAATTCCACCACGCGGGATGAAAGTTCAGCAAGTCAGGGCCCGCATGCCGGTAATCAAGCAACCAACACTCAAGAGGGCAATTATCGTTAATTGTCGTTATTTGTCATACGTGTGTAGTAATGACTCTGTCCTATAAATACTGCAAATTCCTCTGCATGTTTTACCCGCTTCTGGTCATGTCTCTGATGAAGAATCCGCGGCGGATATCGAAACCTCAGACGAATAAAAGTGTTGTCCCAGCGATCGAATCTTCTTCTGCTCAATTACTTCCAGAGACTCGTAGGTTCGCTTGTATTGGCTTTGTGCTATTAACCAGTTAAATTTGAAAAAACACTCTAAGTGGACGCTTAAAGTCGGTTATCCGTTCACTAACTTTAAAAGTTTTCAAATCGCATGTTAGCATTTTTATTTGAGTCAGGTCTTTTGGACACAACGTGCGACAAACAACCTATTTGGGGAAGCTGATCCAAAATGTAGTCTAATCCGCTAAATTTTCCTTCTCCCTCATATTCCTTCACTCTTTTTGTTTATCCAACCCAATTGGGAAAAAAACATTCAGAACGGTCTTACCGCCCTGCACCTGGCCTCCAAGGAAGGCCACACGGAGATAGTTCGTGAACTCCTGCTTCGCGGCGTGGACGTCAACCGACCCACAAAAAAAGGCAATACTGCGCTTCATATCGCGAGCTTGGCAAGCCAATTTGAAGTAGTGAAGTTGCTACTGGAACACGGTGCCGACGTGAATGTCCAATCGCAGGTCAGCTGCATGGACTGTCTTTTTTTACTTTTTATCCCTGCACTCAAACTTCCACAGTTTTAAACAGCTTGGTTACCATCATTCAGTATTTATTTATGTGTATGTATATTTAAAAAGACACATTAAGGACGAGAGGTCTAACTGTCGGTTTTGCGTGATCTTTAATCAGGGCTATATATATATATATATATATATATATATATATATATATATATATGCATAAATCGCGATCTTTCTCCCTCGATAAATTAATATATGCCTGTGATGAAGAGACACCGTAAACTCTCACTTGTTAACCCCTCCTCAATGAAGTCCCAAACAAACATATTCATCCAGGCATAAGCCCATGTCGATACTTCCGTTTCCCGGAAACAATGAAGTGCTGAAGGGGATGGCAATGGGCATGACTAGGGAAGCACTAATGAGGCCCCGGACTTGGCCAGGACATTTTGGCTGAGGGAGTTTTAACTAAAAAGCAGGCAGGTTTGTATGGCCTATGCTGCTTTTTTTAAACCGGTCATCAGACATCAGTCCTTGTAGGACTTTGCACAGTAGATTGACAACTGTTACAGAACTCTGAGTTCCAAACTCTACCATCTGTACACTTTTAAAGGGAATTTTGAAAACAAGTCTATAGTCGAGTGCCCACCCTGCCATTTCCCTAACCAGTTTGTGTTCGTTAGTTTTATTGCACAGAAGACTACGTTTTTGATATAGTAGAACTTAGTATACCTCGACGATGAGCTTTCACCCGACCGCTAATGGAACTCACCTCTACCGCTCTGCCTTCGGGCGCCACCAGTTACCGCACAGCAACTATTAATTTAGGTGGATAGCATTGCAAGCAAAGACAAGGCAGATTGGACTGGCCGTTTCTCACTCATTAGCAGTCATCAGCCAGCCATACCCAATCTTAAACGGTGCACCACCGAAGGCCTGACGCCCCTCCAACCTTTTGATCAGAAGTCTAACGCTCTAACCAGTGGCCTAGAGACTCGTTGGGCTGCCGGTTTAGCTTGGGAATAGTGACACTCGTCAATGGAAATTACGCGATCGCTAACGGTGGAGTGGCTGCTTCTGGCCCATTGTCCGTAAGCGATCGATGTGTGTACTTCGTATTCTTCATTTTCTAAATAACCGAAACCTTGGATGTATTGATCACTAGATCAGCACAGCAGGCGAAGCTCCAACCATTAAAGGATTATTAAGAGCCGTGAAGCTCACCTTACTAGAAAATTATCTTGCCTTCTGTATGAAGAAAACACAGGTCATGCCTTTGCTCATTTTTCTACTTTCATGGTGACTCCTTCGTAAAGATGTGGCCCATGACATTAGGCGATAATTTTACTGACTTACAAAGCATTTTTTGTTCTTTTTTCCGCAAAGTGGAAGTAGGTTATGGAGTCAATCCCGGCATGTAGTAAACGAGTTTATTAGTCGTGGCATGCATGTCCTTACAGCTGCAAATAGTTCCGTTTGTATTGATTTTGTAACTTACCATACAAACAGCCTAGATACTAGCTAAAGGCCCAGACACTATTTCGCTTGTATTCTGCCGCTGCTTGACACAACTGCGAGGAGTCCGGTTCATCAGTGGGTCCCCCAGCATTCCCTGTTTGATTCCTGGTCGATATACCGGTTTTGAAAGTTCAGCTTTTTAATCTCCTGAGAAGTTAATTTCTGTTCGCGGTATACATCAGTAGATTTAAGGTCTATAGGCGTAGACTTAAATTGTAAGTGTATGTATATTTAGGCTGAAATCCGTCAACCACTGCAACATATGTACTTGCTGCCAACAGGCAGAATGTAGTAGTATATATTAATGTTGTTACTTACCATACTAACAGCCTGGAGGCGGAATACCGGCGAAACACGTCTGGGCTTTTTAGCTAGTTCCTAGGCTGTTAGTATGGTAAATTACAACATCAATATATACTACTGCGGTCTGTCTGTTGGCAGCAAGTATATATGTCGCAGTGGTTGACGGATTTCAGCCCAAATATACACTTACAATTTAGGTATACGCCTATAGACCTTAAATATACTGATGTATACCGCGAACAGAAGTTAATTTATCAGGAGATTAAAAAGCTGACGTTCCGTTTGTGTGTATTTTTTCCGGCATTTTTAAATATCACATTTCTTCTCCTTTAAGAGACAATTAGTTTTATGACTGCAAAATCAATGTCAATAACGTATGTGAATGGTAGTTTTTGAAGGCTTTCTACCTTTATTGTCCACATTCAAGTTCACAGTTGCCATCATACGTTCGCTTAGAATGTCCAAGGAAATCCGAACAGCACCTGTGGCTGACCCGTCAGAGGTAGCTACTTTGTAAAGTCATTACATGTGTTGAGGTCATGCGCTTCGTTGAAAAATGGAGGCAGCTGTGTTACTTTTGCAGAAACATATTTTCCTTTAGAAGTATGAAGGAATTCCTCCCGGTTATAAAGTTCTCGCTTTAAATACGCCTCCGCGACATTCTTCTACTACGAAACTACCGGATACGGTCTCAGCTCTATAAAAAATCGTTGCTGTCTCCAACTTATGTTTTCTTGACAGCTCTTGCTACTTAACTCGAAGGTTCAGCCGACGTATACACTGTGGTGCGAGTTTTTCAGAGTTACATTTATAGGTGGTCTGATAGATTTTAATAATTTATTTGACCCACTTGTAGAAAACTCGACAACCTTGGTGGGATTCGAACCCGCATCAGGAAGGTTAACTCTTCCTGCCACAAGTTCGAGTCATACAAAGGCCGCCGAGTTTGTACAATCGAAGCAAATGAAATAGAAAAATTTGCGTAAGACTGTCGTTTCCGAATCCTCATTAAACATTCGCCTTCTTATGCAAACACTGGCTTCTTCCACCGACATAGCTTGCTCCAGGCCTTTGAAAGCATAAATGAGCTTTAAGGGAGGTTCGGCAAAAGAAATACTGTGCCTTAATGGGTACAGATTAAGGCAACTTAGCCGCACGGTCGCATGCCGTACTGAAAAAAGTCAATACTCAACTCGGCTCACAATGCCAAAATAATGAACCGTCGTTGGTGGCGCAGATCGTCATGAACTAAACAAATGTTTAGTATGTGTGGCTCTAGAGTCACACTATGAAAGTAACATTGGGACTGGAATTACGAAGAGAGTTCCTTTCCTAAACTGACATGCAAGTAAAAAAATCGGAACGTGGAATGACTTTTAGACTGAAGGAACGGAAAACGCGAAATAGCGATGATATCTTCGATCTGATGCACTTAATAAAGCTGACGGCTTCGACTGTCATTAGAAGGCCAGAAGAATAGGAGTAACTGGAGAGGGCAAGTTTGAACTGTTTGTTAACTTTAAATTATGTTAGGATTGCTGACACGTGGTTACGCGGCAGGACACGGTAAAAGGAACGCCTGAATGCCAGGTGGCTTTGCGTTAAATTCCCGTGGAATTACTGTTAGGCTCAAGGTTTGCCTTAGGATAAATTTTAAACGTTGGGATTAGGGCTACGATTGGGGGCTTAACTAAAGTTTTGGGTAAGGATTAAAACATGGGAATAGACACTTTTCATGCAAGTCGGCGCAAGGCCACTGGAATTACTGAGAGAGTTCCTTTTGCCGTGTTTCCAGGAAGGGGAGGGGTAGAGCATATATGGCATCTGCAAGGCATAATGCTACTGAAGTGATCATCAATGGGGCTTTTACTGGTTTGAAGAAGTCTCTACCGCTGAGGAGGAAGAAGTGAATAAGTGGATATCAAGAGGTGCATCCGGGTGGTTGCATTGCTTATGGAACTGCTCTGAAGAATTAAATCGGAAAAATTAGCTTCCTCTAGATGGGCTGAGGGTTTTTGCCGACACCCATTTCACATCACGAGAAGATGCTGTGACACCAAATGACGCAGTGAATTAGAACGGGAAAAGTCCTAGTAACTGGGATTAGCTACTGCAAACAATTTGAGGGCTGCCTGAAGTTGGCAGCCCTAACCGCTGCTATTCTCAAGCCAGCTCTCGAATCTAAGAGGCCATACAGTGGCAGTAAGCCTTGCTGGTGGGCTGCATCCTCTACGCATGCCCAGCTCTAAGTCTGCACTTGAGGTTCTGAACAAACAGGTGACGTGCACGAGTAATTAAATGTGTTTTCTATGAAAAGCAATTAGTAAAAAGTTAGGGAGTTGTGTGGGTGGGTGGTCCCCGAGGTTACAGACCCATTTGATTGGCCATCCTTGCGCTTGAATGCGCACATCTTCCGTCTACTCGAAGGTGGGGATCACGTGACATATTGTGAGGACGGAAGTTTCATGCGCGTTGCCACAGGAAACCAGAGACACAAAATTAAGGCGTGGATATGCGCAAATATTGAGTGTAATCAAGTGGAGTTGACGTCTATCTATTAGTACGTTGGGATCAATAATTTGTGGCAACTAAAATAACAAAACACGGCCTATCCCATCAATTCCAGAGCTGAGTCCGTTCTACTAGGAGGAGATAGAGGCTGATAGGATGAGATGTGTAGTTTACACAAAATGAACTAAAATGTGCATTTGGAGTAGGTTGGCTACTGCCCCAGAGACAGGAGTCCGATCGACTGGGTTTTATGGTTTAGATTGACTAGACGCCATACAGGGTCTGAAAATTACAGACAGGCGCCAAATGCAATGAGAAAGAAATGATGTTGGACCACCGTGTCGGACGAATGGACTGCTGTTTTTGAGCATGCACAGGCGTAATCTGTCCTCCCGAGAGTGCTTTTTGAAATTACTGCAAGCTACTGCATCAATAATCACTGACTATCTGACTAACTCCAATGTCTAAATGACAAACTGCTAAAAGCTCGTGCAGCCAGAGCCAACTTTTGGTTGATTTTCTCCCTCTACTTCTAGTTCGTTTGCTCATGCGTTATCTGTGTTCCGATTGTGTTCTATCCGGTCCGAATTAATGCGTAGAAAATTCGTTTATTTCAGCTGTTTCCGAATTCAGAGCTAGACCTTGTTTCATTTGTAGTGGCGAGTACGTAACTGTAGGTATTCTATAAAACGTTACTCCCTTTTACATATTCAGAGAATAAACTAGTCAACCTGTCGAATGTCATGTGCCGCGTATTATATATTCCATTCCATCCTATCCTCATAGTCACTATGTAACTGTCTGCGCGGGCTCTAATCATGAGATCTAGGGCGAAGCGGTACTAAATTATTCCTCTACCAGATCGGTGATGCCCATAAATTTATCATATTCCCTATCTTAACCGACAGAGCAACGAGCCCGTGGTGCACTGGTAGAGTGGCAAACTCCATGACCAAAGGGCCCGGATTCGAATTTCAGGGGTTCCAAGCCTTGAGGTTTTGGTATGACTGGCTGATACGTCTTTCCAGCCCGAAGTGGCCCTTCTGGTTTTCCTTTGCTTTGTTGCATCCATTCCATATACATAAACATATTTAAAATAAACAAGAATTACAACGCAGATATAGAGGATGGAGTAGATCTTTAATTTTAACTTTTAAAGATTCTGAACTACGTTACCGTATACGCTTTTTCTACCAACGGTACTAGAGTAACAGGCTGAACTTCACTCCAAAGATTTTAATTGTATTTAGCTCCCAAGCGCCAGTTTTGAGGAAAGTTGACATTTATATCTTGAACGCGAGTTCAATTTTGTTACTGTTGCCCACTAAAGCGGCTGAGGTATGATTTTTCACAAATATTGAATCCGAAAAAATAAACGTTCTCGTCGTCCTACTTTGAAAATTGTCTCTTTTGTCGACAAGTCAGAGTTTATCAGATTACATCTCAAATACATATTTCGCTCATTAGATGGTAGAACCTGAAATATTCTGCACTTTCTAATAATAATTGGAACACGTTCATAGGAGAGGTTATAACAGATAAGTTCGAGATTTTTTATTTTGAAACCGTGCAAAGTTGCCGACTATACCTTTTCGACCATTTTTCTCATTCTGTGGAACAATATTTTCGCTCATCAGACATGTAGAGTCACCAAATCATGAGAATACTGTATAGGATGAATAGCGATTGCTTTCTAGAGATAACAAAAGCAGATATTTTGGAAAACATCTGTGTTTGTTTACATTCCTTCTCCTCAAGAAATCAGCAGAGTTCATCGATTGTGAAAATAGATGGCTAATGAACCATCTGGTTTTGTCAAAAAGGATTAAACAAATCTCTTAACCTTAATACGAAGTTATTTTATGTCAGCCTACTAGGAGTTTGCCATAGCTTGTTTTCTAAAGGTATGTATTTTTTCACATTTTGATGGATAATAGTCTTGTTTATTCATAAGTTCTAGTTACTTAGACGGCAGACATTAACTTTACGTGTCGATAACGCCATTTTTATGGCAAATTCATCACCATTGTTACGTTTCTTCAATTTCTTTGTCTCTCAGCCCTAGCCATTTTCCAAAGCGCAGTTTTAAGCCTATGCTTTTAGGTGTCAAAAACATTTACAGTAGGTGGCAAAGCTCGTGAAATACGGGCTGAGAATATTAATTAATATTTTAGCAGGCTATGACAGTTTAAGTTAAATTGCAACTGTGCTTAGAATGTAAACTACATCAAAGGTACATCCAGCCCGTCAGGAGGATGGATTTTGTGGCCAAAAACCTTTCCTGTTATTTTTTATCGAGAATTTATACCTGTTTAATTTGTACCTTATATTGTTTAAGAGTTCTCGGAGCATTCATAATTAGTACTACTTTTACAGAAATTTACGTCCTAGTCCAATATTTCCATTTCAAGGAATGGCGTTATTTACTTTGAATTACTCTTTCTCGTTGCTCTATTCCTTTACACCTAGCTTGCTGTTGCATCCGGCTTTAATGCTACAAATTCGCTTGTTCCCACTTGAGCAAAATTCCGTGCGATTTTTGCTCTTCGTAAGACTGCATTTATTAATCATATAATTCGTTTAATGATTCACTTTATATGTGTCAACAGAACCATAAACTATATGCAGCTGCTCACATACTTAAATACTAATTTCGACGCCTAACAGACGCAAATCCTTAAAATATGGCAAATATCCCTATGTGAGTACAAATTTTGAAGGAGACTTAATTTCCTGATGTAATGACGCCACCCAAATTTTTCTGAGCATTCTGTCAAAAGATTGATCGAATCGAAAGACCATAAAAAAGATCCACACTACAAAAGCTGTCATTTTCCAGCGAATGCCATTTTGTTGCGAATATCTAGGAAGATCCTCACTCTAAAGCAGTCATAACAGGAAGTGCCATAGCGTTATGCCACGACTTAGTGCGCTGAGTAATCGTTTCTAGCCGAGAGAAAAGTTTAAGACTTAAGTCAATGTTTCGCGAGTTTCGTCACCTACTCATACTCAAAGACTGTCCTTATACCCTCTCATACTTTCCGTTTCATCGCCCCCTCCTTTCCGCAGAATGGTTTCACTCCGCTGTACATGGCAGCCCAGGAGAATAATTTAGAGGTTCTGACTCTGCTGTTGGCCAATGGAGCTAATCCAGGCATTACTACTGACGACGGCTTCACGCCCCTCGCCGTGGCCATCCAACAGGGTCACGAGCGCGTTGTGGCTGTCTTGCTGGAGAGCGATGCTAGAGGCAAGGTCTGTCTGCCCGCCCTTCACATTGCCGCCAAAAAAGACGATGTCAAGGCCGCCAGCCTGCTGTTGAATGGAGATGTGAATGTGGACCACCAATCAGCTGTAAGCCTTCTTTTTTTCCTCTTTATGTGCAGGACGATGAGGCAGAGTGAATATAACTAGATAATTGAATTGTTTCTCTCCAGAGATCCTTATAACACTTGAACCTGAGAGTAGGAATGTTCTCAGTTTGGTGAATGCATGCGAAGTGCAGACGTTTGAGATCGTTAATGTGACTTTGAATTTCTACTTTTTAACCTTTGATCAGTGCGTTTCACGGTCGTATATCATTCGAGTCGTTGTTCGTTCAAAGAAAAAGCGCAGATTTCGCCCACTTTATGCTTAGGCACTATGACTTAAGATTATTTTTTGCATGCATTAGTCTTCAGTGGAAAGCAAACATAATCTTCAGGTTAAATTTGACTTCGAATACGGCAAGACACGGAATAATAAACCCTTGGTAGTACAAGTGGCCTCGTTGTCAAACTACTAACCCTCCTCATAACCGAATCCTTATCTAACTTAAGCGTTGTCACAAATAATTTTTAATTTTTCCTGCATATACCTCCGTTTTATAGCTTTCTAAAACCCTTTTGATGGTGTTACTGCATTTCGGACACAAAACTAGTTGATAGTAATACATTTCATCGGACCATAATTATGGCCACCCAACCACTGAAGTGTTCCGTCTAACTCCCTATGTTGACTAAAAAGCGAAGTTTGTGGTTATATTTATTTTTGATGTAAATGCGTTGCGAATTAGTTTTAAGAAGTCTCTCTGGTTAGGGTTTTTGTTCTTACATTCCATTTTGCTTTATCCTTCCGGTGCCAGAGTTGCTTTCGAAGAGCCGTACTACAGTCCGAAATTTCCGTTTAGTACTCAAAGTAGCTCAGTAGGAACCCCGTAGATAATTCTGAAGTTTTAATCTCTTCTTAAAAAAGTAATCAAATAAGAACCCTCCCTTTAACTCATTTCTCCTGTACATATTTGGCGACAAGTTATATGACCGTCGCATAGGTCTGCCTTCATGATGTGATGACGTAACACAGTACTGAAGAATTTTATTGAAGATTAATGAGTGATGACTTACTGGGAAGTTAGGAATATTTTTTATGTTGATTTGCCGATAGCAGATGTGGTAAGTAAAATGGGAATAGACTTCCACTCTACTATTCGAATTTGTTTGAGTTGCCCATGCATGGTACATCACTTGCTTTCTGATCCCGCCATTTTCTGATATTTGTCCGTTTCCGAGCTAAGAAACGCTTGCAGTACCCTAAGTGAACATTTGGATACAAGGGAGCGTTGACTTAATATTAAATCAGTTTTTGTTAACGCATGTATGGTCTTGGTAGCTTAGTTTTGAAGGCTTTTTAATCACTTCGAGCACTCGCCGTAATAGTGCCAGTGCTAATTAAATAACCTATATGTTATTTATTGCATTATCTATTAAAGTATATTCTCGGCTCAAATAGCCTGGGAGTTGAAGCAGAGTCCACAAAAATCGAGCGTACACCGGCTGAACAGAATAATTTTTTCGCAAGCAGCAATTAAATAGAGTCCTTGGTTTACTTATGAAAACCAAACATTTAGACGAACCCAAAGTCAGCGGATGGCTCGCTAACGACGATAAAGTCGTAGGAAGAAGTAGATGCGATCGCTGGAATAAGAACTTTATTCGCCTGATGCATCTATTTCTTCTGAGCTATTTCCTGCAACTCCCAATTTCACTAATGTCAACAAAGTCACAACTGAACATCCTGATCTCTCTGGTCTTCGTCGGTGCTCGTTACATTTAACTGCTGGACACAATAGGGCTGTTTGTGTGTGCTCTAGATCGAGGTTTAGAATGCAGCGGCCGAAGAATGTGTCTTAAACGGTTCGATTATCGACTGTCCTTCGATATAAGTTCTATCATCGGCTATCTCACGGGCATCCCTATCATATTTTTTATACAATATGTATGGGTTTACTTGTCGCACTGAGTTTTTCTGTTATTAACCGATCCCTTTGTTAGTACCAAATTCCTCCAATA